CCCCTCTCAAGTGCTCAGGGAATGTCTTTCAGTCCTCAGATAACAAAGGTCAAAAGGCCTCCGTGACATTCAACAGCACTCCAGCCGTCTCTGCACACTACAAGAATCCATCATGTTTTGGGTTTTGTTTTGTTTTCTGAACTTGCTCCCCTCCCACGGAGATGGACAATTTTAGCCCTCCAATCCTTCCGGCCTCACCGGTGGGTCTGTGTTCATTACAAACATGCTGTGTGTTGAGAAATGTTTTAGTCAAATTTCCAAGAATGTGTCACACAGTAAGAGTGGCGTTTGTGCTCAAAGTGGCTTCAAATGACTTCAAAAAATGTTCAAAATGAAAACCATCATTAAAGTCAGGAGCAGACTGACAGACATTTCTGAGTGAGTCTGATAAAAAAACAAAAACAAAAGTCAGGTCAACCACAATTTGCTTCATGTCACTTTAACCTCACTAAAAATGAAATCATCAAGAAAGAATTCTTCAAGCAGGTCAAAAAAAGCCGATTAGTAATAAGTTGTAACTGATGAGCTGACGGGAAAGAACGCTGCGAGCAAGTTGGAGCGAAAGCAGATTAGAGGCAGGGGTAACTCCAGGACACTCTGCAGGCGGTTGATGTACGAGCAAAGACTGTGATTACGAGGTTTTACCTTTTCATATCAAACCGTTTTATTCTAAGATTAAGTGAAAAGAAATGAAGAAAAAGACAAAAATGCCAAAGAAGACACAGAAAAAGATGAAAAAGTCATAAAAGCAAAGAAAGAACACAGGAAGTGAGTCAGTTTGACCAGACGGGCTTCACCGATGCTGATAAAAAGTGGCTTGTGATATTTTCATCAGACTATCAAAACATGCAAATGACAATGCTGTAACCTTATAAGGCAATGTAGCTACCTATAATCAGGCTGGTACAATATTTGTTGAATTGCAAAGTTTTACAGCATTGGAATAGTTAACTAGGGTTTCATTTACACAAGCCATTTCTTTTTTATCGAGTGGTCAAACGCAGCTTTACCTTCACAATAAACAAGTCAAAGGTCATAAAAGTGGAAATATGTCAGTGATAAAGTATTACATAACTGTGGACTGGCTGATTAATTTGTTAGTGGACTTAACAGACTTAACGGTGTGTTTAGATACACAGGATTTTCTTCGGCTGTGTCAAGAAAAAAATGCCACACCAGCTCGATAAATCAAAGATCCTCCCTGCTGTAACAACAGCCATATACATGACACTGCAGGTTCAAATCCAAAGAATGCATCCGCCTACAGCAAAGGCCTCTGGGAAGTGGCCAGACACACCTCAATTTTCACACCCACCCAGCGTGGTTTGTCAGTGTTGTGACCGTTTCAGGTCCTGTGATTACGAACAAAGTGCTGTGGTAACAGTGTGACTGTAAAGCAGGGCGTTGCTGCCTGCACAGAAAGCACGCATGTGCAATGAGTTGCCCCTGGCTGAATTCATTTTAAAACAAAACCAGATAAAAACAGAAAACACTTGCTATGCTACTGTATTTGATGAACTAGTGTTCCCATGTTGAGACTGATGGGTGTGTCTCTGCCTAACTGACAGATGAACTCCACACCCCTTCTGCATTTTTCCGTCTTTTTCCATTTTCATGTTGAAGAAACAGCTTTGACTTCAAAGTGTCTGTAACTACAGACAGAAACCAACAATTGTTGTATCAGAAATATTGGACGATGATCAGATTTTTCTGTGTTCAGATTATCAAATTCATAATTTGATTCGTAACAAGTTGAAGTCTTGTCTTTTGGGTTTAAATTTTGATTTATTTATTTTTTTGTTGCATCAGTGCTGATACTCAGGTACAAGCAAACAGTCTTTCGGTGATTAGACGTCAATGTGCAGCATGTTTATAACCACACAACTAATGTAGATGTTTAAATATTCGCTGAAATGCGGCAGAAACAAAAGATAGTTTTAAACGTTTTAACTGTCCAGTCACTCTCTGCCTCACAACTTCATACTGTTGATTTAATTTGTATATAACTGTAACGCAGTCCATCCTTTGCGTTTACATGTCAAACACAGTTTGGGGGTTTCCTTGCTCTTGAATGCTTGCAGCGTGAACCTGTTGAACTAGACTGTGGTGTGGTGCAAAACCTCTTCTAAGTTTTTCTTTTTAATCTCGAAATGCCACTGTCAGATAATGGACCCACCTCTGACTTGTTATAACAAGCTACAGTCTCATTTGCCTAATGGTGTGTTCATCACTGACATGAAATGTCTGTTGGTGGAGTTTCGATCTGTATTCCTAT